GTCCACACTACCGGTTTGAGGCAGATTCATACAAAAAGAGAAAGATGTGTATAGTTGTTGGAAACTCAGGATCTCTGAATCATATATACTAGATTCATTAATAATTTTTGCATGACAAACTACTTGATTTCAGCTAGCATTTTCTATAAATATTAGACATGGGTTGAATCTACCTAATGAAGTTCTTGTGATTAGTGCCTGAACTGCCACCTGGGAGGATATTACATGAAGAGGGCTTACCATTTGAGGGGTTTATTCTGGCTCCTTTTCCATAGATAATGGATGTCTATAAATTGAAAACTAATCATTCTTACTGTATAACCCTTCCCCTCTTGTCCAACATGGGTGCCCAGGATGCCAAGAATTTCAGGGTTGTGTTTTTGAATGTGATTGTGTTGGAAGTTTTCACATATACATATAAGGCACATAATGAACCTGAATCTTCTTCACCTGGTGGTATAGAATGGTACAAAACTTATGCAGATAACAACATTGTTAGAGTATGCTCATGGAAGGAATATGAATGTCATCTATGCCTACACAGCCATGCCAACTTCACATTGTGAGTTAATCAGAGTAATCCCAGTTGGACTTACCGACACGGGAAATGACTAGTGAAGGCAAGAAGGGGAGAACAAGAACAGGGACTGTTCACTTTTCCAATAATCTAATATACATTGTTGGTAATTAAAAAATGTTTGTGTAGAAACGTTCATGGAGTTAGCAGCTTATTTCCAGGTAATGGCAAGTTATTTTCTCATACAGCTTATAAGGTACATATCTAAGCAATCTTAGGCTCCAGTGCCCAGAGAAGGTTAACCGTCAGGTATGGAAAGAGACTTTTGAATATGTGCTACAGACCATCCAGAAAAGACACACGTTCATAGAAATCTGAAGCTAGTTAGCCTTTGGCCAAGGGTAGGGAGAATTAATGTATAAAAAAAATAAGACATTGCTAAACACAAACTTATTTTACATATTAGTAAAGCTATCCTCTTGAAGAAATAGAAGGTTTTTTTTTCTAATTTTTCCTAACGTTGTTTTAAAAATCTTTTTTAAAAATCAGATGTAGATTAACATATACATTCACATCAGTCTTCTGTCAACATGTGATCAGCTTTGTCTGTTTTGAAAGGCCTAACTCAGTCTTTTCCAAAATTGTCCAAACATAAACAGTGCTTTAAATTCAATAAAAAAAATATATTTGTTGGTTCCCATCCCATACATGTTGAAACTGAATCCCCAGGGAGGGGTGTGGGAATCTGTATTTTTTAAAAAAGAATCTCAAGTGATGTTCTCAGACATGTTCGGGAATCATAATCCCAGACTATTACCTGAACATAAACCCTTTCTGTGATATCTGTGAGCAGTCAGAATTCCACATATTAACTAAACCATATTTACTTTTCTGTATATTTCTCATTTTGAAGGCAATGTAGAGGGCTCATTCCTTCTAGGGAAGTAAGTGACAATCTGTGTTAATAATGATATTGTTGAAGACTGTCACAAATTCTGAATAATCTAAATTATTTGTGCAAATCACAAGAGGAATAATTTGGGTATTCTTTGGACTCACTATGTAATTTTTAGTAGATGTTCTAGTGACTTGCATTTCCCTGGTTAACCAAATTACATGAAAAATGGTAGATTAGATTGATGATCTGTCATCATATTTTAATAGCTCTTACTATACTTATGGAATATTTTTATAGTCTTATGTTAATTACTAGCTATCCTATTCTTGGAAGAAAAGAGCTAAGAAAATGAGAACGAAGAATCATCTAGAGGTTTTGGTATTTAGTCAGAATCAGTCTGGTGTTTGATCCAAACTGCCCTTACGATGGAAATACATTTATTTACTCTTATAAACAGATTTTAAAAAGTGGTAAGGTGGAATTTCTTCTTTCGATGAGCTATTTCCCAAACTAGCTTCATAATATAAAATTTTCCAACGTTGACTATATTTTCTTCCAAAAATTTATCTGGGTCAGTTACCACATGATGGAATTATTTACTCCTCAAGTCACTGGTTAATCGAATACATAATTACAAATCTACTACGGACTAAGACTGAGGGAAATAAGTCAGACTTGGTCTTTACCTCCCTGGAACTCATAGTAATGGTGAAGTCAGGGTGGAGCATAGGGTTTATTCCAGACTTGCAAAAGCCCAGAAACTAGAAAGAAAATGGTACTTTTACCTGATTCCCAGGGCCATGGATGGACACAGCTGCAGTTGCAGGAGAGAGCTGACCTAACTCCATGCTCTCAGTGAGGGATGCTTCTCCTTGGACTGCACATCCCTGTTTATCACATATTCTTGTGGATGTCTCAGTCTTCCAGGTCGTTAGTTACCAGAACAAGCAGCCCTATCATGTTGTGCCCATCCCCCCATCCAGTGCTCCAACTTTTACATGCTCTCATCTCAGGGACCTCCAACCCACAAGAGCCATCCTTTTCAGGCCTGGATTCACAGGGACACAGCCTGTGCAGTTACACAAGGTCCCTACTCAGACACGCCTGATGCTTGGTTTAATGCTTTATTGTCACCATCTTGAAATTCTTAATAATTTTTAACCAAGGGGTCTTGCATTTTGTCTGGCCCTGCTAATTTTGTAACCCACCTTGATTACCCACTTTTGTCACTGCAACATTACATCCTTGTGACTTGCAGTCATTTCTGCTTCAACTTTTTAATTCAGCTTGAAACAGCTGGTCCAGTTTTTTGAGATCTTAGCAAAAATTTCAGCTTCTCCTAGATACTTTTAACCACCATTTCTTTTTTTTTTGGGGGGGGGGGGTCTTTCTTTTTTTTTTTTTCAGATCTAATTTTACCTATAAGTCCTGTTTTTCATACTTAACCACCATTTCTAAAAAAATAAATCCTCTCTGCCCAGTTACCTCCATCCATGTCACTTATTATCACTACAGCAACTATGACAATATGGAACTATTTTATTTGTTTACTTATTTGTCTAATATAGGTATACTCCTTTCAGGAAGAAACCTTATTTTATCTTTTTTTCTTTCTTGCTTTCTTTTCTTCATTGAAGTGACATTGGTTATAATATTATGTTTCACACGTACAACATTGTATTTCTACTCCTGTATACCCTACAGCATGCTCACCACCAAAAATTTAGTTTCCATCCATCACCTTATAGCTGATCCTCTTTACCTACTTCATCCTCCCCCACCCCTTCCCCTCTGGTAACCACTACTGTTCTCGGTACCTATGTGTTTGTTTGTTTATTTATCTTGTTTGTTTGTTGTTTATATTCCACATATGAGTGAAATCACACAATATTTGTCTTCTTCTGTCTGACTTATTTCACTTAGCATAATACCCTCAAGGTCCATCCATATTTTTGCAAAAGGCAAGATTTCATCTTTTTTTCTTTTTTAAATTTGGTCTTATTCAATATTTTACCTCTATGTCTTACAACATTGAATCAATCAATAAGTGAATGTATGAAATTCATGAATCTGAAGCACAGGAAGCATGAGGGAGAGTGGTACAAGATAAAGCTTGTGAAATAAGGAAGGACCACGAGTTGGGGATGCTTGTCTTTATCCTCTCAAGGGAGAGAGATATAAGTTGAGGTGTAGAGATGTTTTTCCAATATACGAATGTTTGACGTTGCATTTCTATTTAAAACTGATTTTCCTGACAAAAATCTATTTCTCATTACAAGTCATTGTATAAACTGATATTTTACTTAAAGGAAAAAATAAGAATAATTGATATTTTTTAGTTTTTTGGACTTCAGAATATGTCAATACTCTCCTTAAAAGTGAAACAAACACTGTATTCCAAATATGTAGATAAAATAGACCAATTATCCTCAGTTTGGTACTACCTAACAAAATATAGCTGCCATTTTGTTAATATTCCTATCTTTTTTTCAAGGGAGTATAAAAAGGAAGGAGAATTAATATCTAAATTAAAATCTCAAGGGTCATTGTGTATATTGCAAATGTTCAGGTCATTCAGCGCATAAGACTGATAATGCAAAATTATACTATTTTTCTTGTGAACATCATTTTTTTTTCTGGGCATATATTCTTTTCACTGAAAAAAATTATATATTCAGTTAAAATGATCTTATAATCAAGTGAGTAGGTGTATAGAAATGTCAAATAGGAATGATAATATTTCCCACCTACCTGCCTTCACAGGATGCTGTGAGAATTGATATGAAAATGTCTTTGAAGTGTTTTGAACTGCTTAGAAGAAAGATATGATATAAATACAGAGCTGTATTTTTGGAATTATGATTCCAATGGCCTCTATGATAAATCCTATGATTTTAGAGTTAGAAGAGATACAGTCACCTTCTTGTCCTAACTCTTCACTATAGATCTGAAGCCCAGAGAGGTGAATATTTTTGGTGCCACTAACTATATAACAACTTATTTTTCAAACAAAATTAAACATTGATTCAGTGAACATTTAGCATTGATTTCATAGCTTTGGACATTGAAAGGTGATGTCCTGGTAACTTAGTACATTAGTTTGGTGGGCAGTCACAACAAGATACCACAGAAATTTATTAAACAACAGAAATTTGAACAACAGAAATTTATTTTTTCACAATTCTGGAGGCTAGAAGTCTAAGATCAAGGTGTTAGCAGGGTGGTGTTTCTTCTGAGGCCTCTTTCCTTAGTTTGTAGATGGCTGTCTTCTTGTGTTTTCACATCTTCTCTTTGTACCTGTTTGTATCCCAGTTTCCTTTTCTTATAAGGACACTGGTCATAATGAAGTAAGGCCCACCATAATGACTTTGTTTTAATCTAAGTACTTTTTTTAAGGCCCCATCTCCAAACACGGTCACATTCTGAGGTACTGGGGGTTGGCACTTTAACATATAAATTTGGAGAGAACACAATTTAGCCCATAACACTCAGATACCTGTGTTTGGGCCTAGCATGAAGTCACTAACTAGTCATTCCATACACCCACATTTACAGCCTTTTAATGCTTCCATTGCTTTTTTTCAGATATGCTGATCTTCCTTCTGGTTCTGAAACATGCCCAGCACTTGCTCTCTTTGGTTCTTTGCACTCGTCTTTGCCTGGTAGGTTCTTTTATAATCTCTTCATATCACTATGTGTCAGGTCTTAGCTTAATGCCATCTTCACAAAGATGTCTTTTTTTGGCCACATTATGTAAATCAGTCCTAGTGATATTGATTTTCTTATCTTATGTATCTTCTGAATAATCTATGAGGAAAAAAAAGGAACCTTGGATGCCTGGGAACTGATATGACATTTAAACCTAGACCTCAATCTCAATGTCATTACAAACTTATCTCCCTCTTACAGCTGAGCCATGTTGTTCTCCTGCAGAGCATGATGTCACAGAACATTCCCATCAGCAAGGTCATCGTGCACCCCACAGAATAACCACCATCTCCCCTCATTAAGTGAGTGACTAGAGCTTTTGAAAACCAGTTATAGCTATAACCTTGCCTTAATCTGCCTTCTCTGTAGATAAGATTTATTGAAATAGCCAATCGTAGACTTGTTCCTTCTTTATGACAACCCCCAATCTACCCCTAAATTCTCCCCAACATTACTCAACCAGAGCTCCAATCCTATGGTCAATTCTTTCTAATGCCCTTATTGAGACACACCACAGTTCCCAAGGTGTGTGTTCTCCCTCCTTGCAACGAGTGATAGATATAACTTGTTCAACTGCAGGTATTCCTGGTAGTCTTTTGTTGGTCTATTTTCTAGATCATTACTGTCTGTCTTCCATGAAGGCGTAAGCTACATGAGGGAAGGAATCTGGGTTTGCCTCATCACATCTTCATTACTAGCACTGTTCACAACAATGTTCGCTGTACCCAGCACATAATAGGCACTCAGTTAGTATTGGATGAACGAATGAATTGGATGAACAAATGAATCAACCAACACCAGAATACTTATGACTATTTTATACCCTTTCAAGTGCCTCTGTTTAGAATATTTTAGGGTCTTCATAGTGATATTAGGATATAGGATATAGTGATATTAGGATATATAAGAAGGAGTATAGTCCCTAAGTAGGGAATGACATAGTGCAAATGGTATATGGGGAAGATCATTACTGTTGCTGGCAGCAGAAAAGAGTCCTGGGGAAGGGAATAGATATTATTGTGCTAGGTAATAATAGTAAGGTTTGGGGTGGACACTTGGATAAAGTGAGCAAATGGCCTTTTGAGAAATGTATCACACAGCAGTGTACCTTGAGAGTACATTAGTTATAAGGTGCCAAGATAATAAGTTTGACAAAATACGTTCAAGATTGTGAGTCTCCAGAATTTTTGTTTCAGTCATTGTTCTCATTAAGTATTCACTATTTGTACCTGAAATGGAGATCTATTAAAAAATGTCAATTGTTTTCTTAGTTATTGTAACCTTATCTTACACGCAGTAAGTTTTAATTCTAAATTTCAAATCTACTGATTCAATACTTTTAGGATAATCCTACAGAAATAGACTTTCTGAATTTTATAATTGGATTTTATTTTGCCCACAGAATTATAAATTTTTGATTCCAAATATTGAAAGATGTGTATTATTTTATCGATTAGTATATTAATTAAATTTCTATAAGTAATAATAATGTGTATCTAGATGTTTCCAGTTACACATAATCCTGTTTCATGCTTCATGCAAAACAAAACAAGACCCTCTGATTACTAAATTTAGCAATGTATAATCCTATATGGAAATTACTGCTGAAGTAGTAAATAGTATTATATTTATGTTTTATAAGAATGAACAAAGACTCACTTATGAAGCATCTGCTTAGACTCCACTATTTTTTTTTCTTTTAATTTGTGAGATCAAATTGTTTTAAGTGGCCAACAATTACAACTTGAAAGGGATACTTTGTTAATTATATTTCTCCTAATGTGGATATCCAAATGTTTCAATTCTAAATATGTAAGTTGAAAGTTTAATGCTAATTTTCTATGGTTTAAGTTTCTTGTGACTTTTCATCTATGAGCTATTGTATTTGATTTCACATCTCTAACTCTTTTGAGTTCTGAGTTACACATCTAAATCTCTGGCAAAACATAGGCTTAAATTCCACTGCTCCTATCAGAAGGGAGACTTTATTTTATGGAGTGTGAACAGCTGTGCTAAACAGAGTTAATGTTAGAATTACCACTGAGAACAAAAGTGTGGAGCTTTTCACTGCTTAATTAAAAAAATGTTTCAAGTGCCACCTTCAAAGTGTGACAAGGCAACAAAAGTAAGAAAAAAGAAACAGTAGAGAGTATATCTTCATGTTATTGGAAAACAATCTACCAGGAGGAGTTGGAATATACTACTGTGGGTCGTCTCTTAGTAGAGTTTTGTTAATATATATCTGGGCATACAGCATGATGCACTTAAGTGTTTACTTATTTTTTTAACAAGGTTTTTTCCTGGCTAGTTAGCTTACTGGTTCTCCCATTATTAAAAATTTGGAGGAGTGGAAAAAGAATTCTGGTGTGACTTTCACTTAAAGAGGCAAGCTTCAGGCAGCATCAAGGGTACACTCTAGTTCTGGCAGGAAGTGATCTTGAATGATGTTCATAGTCTCCAAGTCCTCTTGTTTTGAAACTAGCACAAAGAGCTCCTTAATATGGGAAAGAACAAAGGGGGGTGGTGGAGGGAGATCTTTAGGACTGTCTCTTTGGTGAGTCTCCAGTGGAAGAAGCCTATTATTTATTTATTTTCACTGAAATATTAGGTGAGAATGGTTATAGTAGAGAAAGCTTGCTTTCTCTTATTTCTTTGAGAGTTAAGCATGGGGCATCCACGACCTAAATCTGGGCAGAAGGGACCAACTTTCCACTTGACCCATGTTCTCCTTTCAGACCTCAGGTATTTTGGGGAAAGAACAACCAGTAGCCTTTACAGCTATGACTCAGAGTGTTTGTTAGAATGAAAGGCAAAAAATATTCGTTATGATCTATTTAATCCAATTAAAAATATTGGTTTAGGTCTTACATTTAGGTCTTTAGTACATTTTAAATTTATTTTTGTATATGGTGTGAGATAATGTTCTAATCTCATTGTATTACATGTAGCTGTCCAGTTTTCCCGGAACCACTTGTTGAAGTGACTCTATTTTCTCCATTGTATATTCTTGCCTTCTTTGTCATGGATTAATTGACCGTAGGTGCACAGGTTTATTTCTGGGCTCTCTATTCTGTTTCATTGATCTATGTGTCTGTTTTTGAGACCTGAAACCATAAAACTCCTAGAAGAAAACTTAGGCAGAACACACTTTGACATAAATCATAGAAAATTTTTTTAGATCTGTCCCCTAAGGCAAAAAAAAATAAAAGCAAAAATAAACAAATGGGACCTAATTAAACTTAAACGTTTTGCACAGCAAAGGAAACCATTGACAAAACAAAAAAGACAACCTACTGAATGGGAGAAAACATTTACAAGTGATATGACCAACAAGGGTTAATATCCAAAATATATACAGAGCTCATACAACTTGATAAAAAGAAAAAAGAGCAGAAGACTCGAATAGGCATTTTTCCAAAGAAGACATACAGATGGCCAACAGGCACCTGAAAAGATGCTCAACATCGCTAATTATTAGAGAAATGCAAATCAAAACCACAATGAGGTATCACCTCACACCAGTCAGAATGGCCGTCATTAAAAAGTCTACAAATAATAAGTGTTGGGGAGGGTGTGGAGAAAAGGGAACACTTGTGCATTGTTGGTTGGAATGTAAATTGGTGCAGCCACTATGGGAAACAGTAGGAGGTTCCTCAAAAAACTAAAAACAGAACTATCATATGATCCAGAAATTCTACTCCTGGGTAAATATTGGGAAAAAATGAAAACACTAATTCAAAATGATACTTGCACCCCCAGTGCTCATAGCAGCACTCTTTACAATAGCCAAGACATGGAAACAACCCAAATGCCCATCAACAGACAAATGGATAAAGAAGATGTGGTACATATATACAGTAGAATACTACTCATCCCCTCCCTTCTTATTTACTGACACCATTCTTGGAAATGGATTTTCCAACAAAATTAAATATGCATTTCTGAAGCATAGTCCATTAACCATTGGGCATCTTTTAAAATGCAGTCTTTTAAAATGTTCATACTTATGATTAAAAAAAGAGACTAGATTCTTACTAAATAACATTTTCAGCTAAACATTTCATGATTCATGGATGTTCATCTCAATATTACTGACGTATTAGATCTGATGAATCTGTGTGCTTTTCCTTTGTTTCTTCAGTTCAGCAGGATTTAATTTGATACTCCCTAATAGGTTTCACACATAAGTTCTTTACCTATACTTTACAAAATGACAAAAGTAATCTCCTTTAGGCATAGTTCTCTGTATTGCATCACCAGAATTTGCACATTTTTTCCAGTATTTATGTGAGTTTTGGGATGGTTCTAAAAGCAAGAATATATAAGGAAGTTTGTCTGTTCTGTCTTTCTGCTTCATCTAATACTTTTTAAAAAGTCTATTTGACAGTCTAATAGCAAATCAAATATTTTGGACAGCTAGACTCAGCTAAAGTCTAGATACAAACCACATATCTGATAAGGGATTGATATTCAAAATATATGAGGAAGTCACACAACTCAGTAGTAAAAAAATGAATAGAGTTGACCCTTGAACAACACAGGGGCTGGGAGCACTGACCCTCCACACAGTCGAAAATCTGCATATAACTTATAGTAGTACTCCTTATATGCGACTTCTCCATATCCATGGTTTCAACAAATCTTGGATCCTATAAGTGTACCTACACAGTTCAAACTTGTGTTGTTCAAGTGTCAACCATAATCCAATTAAGAAGTGGGAAGAGGACCTGAATAAATATTTTTCCAAGGAAGATATTCAAATGACCAACAAGCACATGAAAAGGTGCTCAGCATCACTAATTGTGAGGGAAATGCAAATCAAAACCACAATGAGGTATCACCTCGTACTTGTTAGAATGGCCATCATCAGAAAATCTACAAACAACAAATGCTGGAGAGGGTGTGGAGAAAAGGGAACACTTGTGCACTGCTGGTGGGAATGTAAATTGGTATTGTCACTATGGAGAACGTTATGGAAATTTCTCAAAAAAATTAAAAATAGAGCTACCACATGATTCAGCAATCATATTCTGGGTATGTAACCAAAGTATATAAATCACTATCTCAAAGAGATGTATGCACCCTCATGGTCATTGCAGCATTATTTACAAGAGCCAAGATGTGGAAACAACCTAAGTGTCCATTGACAGATGAATGGATATAGAAAATGTGGCATACATGGTCACTGGAATATTATTCAGCCATAAAAAGAAGAATAACCTGCCATTTTCAATGAAACTTGACAGCATTATGCTAAATGAAATTAGTCAGGTAGAGAAAGACAAATGCGATATCATTTACACATGGAATCTAAGAAAACCAAACTCAGAAACAGAGACAGATTGGTGGCTGAAGATGTAAGGGGGTGGGGTTAATGGGTGAAGGTGTCAAAAGGTACAAACTTCCAGTTATAATTTAAATAAGTTCTGGAGATAGAATGTACAGCATGGTGATTACAGTTACCAATACTGTATTATATATTTGAAAGTTGCTAAGAGAACAGATCCTAAATATTCTCATCACAAGAAAAATATTGTAACTATGTGAGGTGATGGATGTGTTAACTAAACACGTGGTAATTATTTTGCAATATATACATATATGAAAAAATTATGCTATACACCTTAGACTTATACAGTGTTATATGCCAACTATATCTCAATAAAGCTGGAAATAAAATTATGATAATAACGTTTAGGACCATTTGGGGATTAAACAAAACCTTATATTGAATTAGCATATTGTGAAGAACTACAAAATGATATTTATTACTACATTTGACCCTTGAACAACACAGGGGTTAGGGGCACCAACCTTCTGAGCAAAAATCTTCGTAACAGCTTTATAGTTGGCCCTCCTTATCCATGGTTCTACATCTGTGGAGTTGACCAACCTCAGATAGCGCAGTGCTGTAGCAGGTACTTAGTAAAAAAAAAATCTGCATATAAGTGGACCCATGCAGTTCAAACTCTTGTAATTCAAAGGTCAATATTGTTATTACGCCTATATTTTCCATTACTTTAGAGGAATCTGATTTAAACAGTATAAATCATTCACATGAAGTCTCAAGATGCTTTATATAAACTAGATGGCAGAACAGGATGATGTTGGATCAAATTTCTAAGAACCATGTATTTCATTTTTTATGGCAATGGGACTAATCCTCTCAAACTTATAGCTCTTGATTTGTGTAACTAGGTCATTCCTATTGATTTTTGGAGAAAGAGTAACAAATGGGATTTGGTAGACTTTACAGAAATACATGCAAGGAGGAAGAAAAGGTATTTTTAAATCATAAAACATTTTATTGAGAAAGAGTCAAAGCTAAAGCCATACAAAAGCCAGCACTATCTCCCCTTTACAAATCACAAGCCTGGAGGAAAGGTATATCCTTGAAATGGAAGGGTCAGTTGCATCTTAAGTAGTATTAGACTATGTTAGTAGCCTAAAAGGTGTTTTCCCAAGGACATTTTGGCATGTCGTCCATGATTTTCACAGGCTTCTGATGTATTCTTGAAAACTCAAAGTTCTGTTCAGTATCTGATATTTGTAGTTGACTGTGTAAAAGATGAAGGCAAACCATTGGACTGATTTCCTCTTCCTTAGAGTTTTACAATATTCTATATTGAAGTGTGGTAATTCTACACGGAATATACTGCTGCCTTAATTTCACTAAATGAATGTCCAGAAGGTTGAGAGCTCTTTCATCTTTAGCCTTCCTCCCTTTTCAGTCCACTCTTACACAGTGCCTTTCCTTCTGTAACAACACCTGCCATGCCCCTTTCTGAGATTTTTAAAGGTAGACGTGATTAAGAGTAATTTGGAGCAGGTCTAGAAATGGCCTAGAGAAGTTCAGGATCAAGCTCTAGAATTAGCTGATTTTTTGGCTGCCCTGGCAATGAGTGGGAAATCACTGTGTACTATAGAATTTTCTTTTTTATTCAAATACTTTGAGTTTATTACCCATCTGCCCATAGCTTCAGCCTTCTCTAATTATTTGTTCCCCTTTTCAGTATATAGGATAGAATCTTATTCCTACTAAAATTATACTATGTATTTTATTACTTATGAGGGAGCTAAGGTGGGAAGGTAGAAAGCAATGCCAGTAGAGTAATAGTTTCATTAGTAAGTAGGACTCACTAATGAAAAACTTCTTTTCTGGAGAAAATTAGAAATCAGAAAACCAGTTTTCCACTCCAGCAACTGATGCTAAAAAGCTTCAGTCAGACTTGCCTTTAGAGTCCCTTCCAAATACCAGTGGAACTACTACCAAGCAGCTTAAGCAACCAAACTAAGGCGTTGCTGTCCCTGTGCTTGAAGATGCTCTGAACGTCACAGTGGGGCAGTGAAAAGATGTGTGGGTTAAGATCTAGTCCTTGTCACTCTATGATGTTGGGGAGTCATGTAGCTGATAGGTATCAATTTAGTCATTCTACAAGGAACATTTTAAATTAACAGCCCAATCAACACAGTCCTTGAAAAATAATCAGATTTTTCCCTATTTACTTGGGGAGTAGAATTTTAAAAAACAAGAGAAAACAAAGGTCATCCCTAGGTAAGTTAAAGCTTTAGGTAAAGAACTCTTTACACTGGAGACAAATTATCAGGCTTCATGACTTCCTTAGGACCTGCCTGTTTATCTCAAACAATCTGTGCTCAGAGGTGTTTTTGTCATAAAGCTAAAATTGCAAAGTGCAACATTTTATATGACATAATTTTTTCAGCTTTTTTTTTTACACGGGTGATTTCTTATATAATTGCTCAACTCACAGGTAATTTGTAAATCAAGATATTACTATATAGCAACATAGGTAATAGGCCATCACAATAGAAATAAAATAGAGAAAGAGAGAGAGACTAATAAAATATAATTACATATTTTTTGTTATGGAAAGGCAATTTCTGCTTTCTATTGAAAATAAGTATAAAATTAGTAGTTAAATTTGATGATAAATGCTTCCTTAGATGCCTCATTTGTCCCTTATTATAAAAGTTATATGACCTTCAACAGAGATGTCAGGTTGCTGAAAAATACAAATAGTTTAAATATGTTTTTCATCAAACTGAAAATTTGTCTAAGGGGCCCTTTGAATGAGATGAAGCTGTTTGGGACGATCATATATAAGTTTGCATTTAACAGTAAATAACATATAAAAATAAAATTCAGTGATTTCAGGGCTTAACTGCATTTATAATTAATGTTCTTACCCACGTAATTAAGTTAAAAAGATAGGTAGAAGATAAATGTGATAGGGGAGAGCTGGAAAGAGAAAGACAAATGTAAATTTGTTTCAGAATATTTTATTTTCACCGTGGTTATGGAATATTGTAAAGAGAATTATATCAATATGTTTATTCTGTTACTCAGGAACTGCAATTAATTTCACTAAAATGTAATTTCTCTTTATAATACATTTTCCAGTACATGGCTTTTTAATCTCAAAAAATACATTTTATTTGTAAACCGAAATGGTGATGGAGTTTGCTTTTCTTTCATTGTGATGGTTCAGAAACTTGAAATTACCTGATGGGTCTGGCAATGAAGAGACAAGGAAGTAAACATAATCGTAGTTTCATTTTTCTGAAGTTTGCTTTCCTGATGTGTATTCTGATTCTTCTAGTTCTTAGCCCACTCACAGCTGTAGAGAAGTGGCCATTTCCAATGAGTGGTCATTTGTGAAAGTACATTGTTTTGTGACAGGACAGTATTTGCTAGGACAGAGTCAATAGGTGGGGTGATAACTTCATTTATTGGCATATTATAGGTTTTGATGAAAAGTATGGGCAGTTGTGTAATCTGCAGTAGGAAATTAAAAGTAATTAGAGATTTAACAAAATTTTCATTGATGTGAATATTAAGGAAGTCAGAAAAGCCTCAGGTTATTTCTTTTTGTATTTATTATTATTATTATTTTGCAACGGTTAATATGTGTCTTTAGGTTTCTGACAGAAGGAAGACACTTACAAGGATCAGAAGGTAGTATTCCACCAGGGGAAATGTATTTTATACTCAGCAATAGAAATTCTACTTTAAGTTCTATGGAGAAAAAGGTTTACATATTGATCCAACTGACCAGTTAGCGTGTATTTTTTGAAAGAAATTGAAAAACCTAAATATGGAATTCAGCTTTTGACTGTAGTGGGTAAATGGCTGCCACTAGGAACAAGTTAATTTTTTTAAGTGGATTCATTTAAATAGAAAACAACCCTCACAGAATCTCTTTATTCTACATGGAGAATTAGTCATTGTGTTTTGCCTTTTGATGTGCTGTGGCAAAAAGGATCCACACATAAATTCCTTTTAGCTTTGCTAATGTTCTGTCAACTCTGGGACCTGCAGATGTAACCTATAGAGATAGTGCCGGCTCTTATTGCCAAAGTCTATAGTTTTCCCTAAAAGCACACATCATGTTTCTATCTTCTACTCTTGGGTATTTCCTTTCTAGAAATGGCACCCTAATGAATATTAGACTAAAGTAATGGCATGGCAGTTAAAAATATATTGTTTCTTTTCAGATCTTCCGCTACAGAGACAAAGAGAGTGTGTCAATTTTCCTCCTTTTATTCTCACTTAAAAATTAATATTAGCTGAATCCCTGATAATCAGCACTCAGTCAAATAAACAAATAACAAATCAACAGGGAAATTATTTGTAAGATAAATGTGATCTAAACTGTCACTACGAAAAGCCAAAGCAGAATTCATTTTATGCAGACCTCAAGCAACTCAATTTCTGAAGGATGGCTTTAATGGTAGCCTTAACTAAAATGTATATTTTAACAAGGCATATTTACAGCACATAATAAATGTTTAAATTAGATTAATTAGTATGCATCGTTGAGGCTTTCTTACTGTTTAGAATTATTTGCCCTGCTGAAGTAGTAAATCTAGATGAGCTGAGCACTCAAATGATTCTAATAACAACACTTGGCATTTGTACAGTGCATTATATTTTCTAAGTACTTTATAATTACAATATTAATTAGTTAAGTGACATGTGATCTTGTGAAGAGGTCTGCATCTTATCCCCTTTCACAAATGAGGAAACTTTAAATGCAAAGGACAGTAATTCACATTGCAAGTAAATCAGGTTAAGATTAAAAAACGTTTTGTATGACTTGTGAATGTCTGATGCTGCATTTTACTAAGAACAATTTATTTCGATGTCATGTTCTTTGGATCAAGAGGTAAAGGTTTCATCCCATATACAGATTTTCAGAAAGCTAGCAGAATAAAGAAAGGATAGAAAAGAGAGAGTTCTTTAGTTTCCATTGCATTCTGTCTCCTATACTAAACTTTCATTATATCCTTGAGGCTGAGTTGTTGAGCCTGGAACCTTGATGGTGAATTGGGTAGCCTCCTGGAGGACCCTTGGTCCCCTATCAGAGGAAGCGTCTGCTCTTTACTGAAGCATCTCTAGTGCTTCATGTCGGTGCAAAGGGGAACAATAACTTCAAAGGCTAATGAGGCTGGGAAATTCACTTAAGTGTCTTTGGTTTCTAATCTCAATGCAAATTAAGTAGGGTTTCCAAAATATTATAGAATAATATGAGATTATTTTAAGCAAGCAACTTCAACAAGCATTAATTAATTATTTATGTTCTGTCTTCTAAGGGGAAACTCTAAAATTAATAGAACATGGCTTCTGTACTAAGAGACTTGGAGTTTAGTAGAAGGATATAAACATGTCAACAAATTAAAGCAATATGAAACAAATAGTTGTTAGGCACTTGTCACCCATCAGGCATGATTTTAAGGGATACAACAGTGAATAAAACAGGTAAAAACCCCTGCCTTCATCTAGCAGATATTCCAGTGAGTGAATAAAAAGTATTAAAGGTAGTGTGATAAAGAAGGGATAGAGTGCTTATAGATGAGGCATGCAAAAAGCGGTAGCCAATATTTACCTATCTGCAGGATATTGATGAATTGCCATTTGAATTTAATATTGTTAAATGAGTCAATGTTTATTTGAAAGCTATAGAGAAGAACTTTAGGGCAGCAGGGGGATTGGAGGATGGAGGGTGGTTGAAGTGACAAAGGGTTAGGTGTGGAGAAAATATACGAAGCCCAGAAAGTTTGGTGGACAAAGACTTGGACATATGAGAGTCTGGTAAACTGCAAGTAATTAGGCAAGGCTGGAACTTATGGTACATAGGCAGTTGGCTTCAAAGGTTAGTAGAAAAACTATGGACCCACATAATCTGGAAAATTAAGAACACGTTAATTATGGCTGTGTAGTATACTGGCAGAGAAGATGGCCAAGATGGAAGGTGCTGGAAGCTGCTTGGCTTGGTGGTGAAGGAGGATGAAGACACTAGTACTAGGTGAGGTGAGAAGAGCTCCCATCTTTACCTGACTTCAAAAAGGAAGCCTTAATTAATGTGCTCAGATAATAAAATAGAAAACCAAACAACAGCCACAGCAGCAAAAACCTTTCTAGTATTTTACCATTTATTTGATTCTTCCTCTTCTTTTCCCCTCCAATTACATGCATAGGGTGATCAACTGAGAATTACTGAAAGCAAAGCAAAGCCAACCAAAAACCCTTGAAATTCACAGGCTAACATCAAAAAAGATTCAAAATTAGGTAAATGGAATACCTTATACGAAATGGAATAAAATTCCAGGCTGTTTCACAAGTCTCCTTGTTTTACAGAGAAAACAATCAGGTTGTAGAAAGGTTGAGTGGGTCTCCAAGTCTTTACAGTATGGAGACCTCTTTAGTCAGGCTTAACTATTTCAAATATTCACTGTGTCCACTAACAGACTATTAGAAATGTAATAACCTCTGTTTGTTGTTGTTGTTGTCATTATGGCTACCATTATTCCTCCAGCAACTACTCCAGTAGTTCAGAAACCACTATTTACTTTTACTTATATATCTATCACCTAGTCCAAGTGAGTGTCACTTATTTGTTGAATGACTTGTAAACATATTTCAAAACTTCTCGACAAAAAAGTACTGATGCTGAAAAGTACTGAAACTGATGCTAAGGGGAGATTAGCACCCAAATGAGGTTTTCTCTCTTATATCTTACTTTTTGGAAGAACTGAGGGGGATTTATCAGAGAAGGACAGCAGAACATTTTGGAGGAAATGAACTTTGAGGAGTGCTCACCTAAGCATTTGCTGTATCATTGTCCTCATGAGGAGGCAGTCTGTTTTAGTGTTTATCATTCTCTTAATCTGTGAAGTATATTTGCTTGTGAAATTTTTCAAACTACAAACCCCCAACCTCCTGTCTATAAATGTCACCAAAATCTATGTGTACATGATTTTTACTCAAGTATTTTTTTTCCTTCCCAAATATAATGAAAATAACCAGAACAAGAACAAGAACATCATCGTCATCAACAACAAGGACAAACAACAAAGGGATTGATGAGTTGTATCAAATAACACAATATTTTTCCTTCCTTATATACCTTTGAGTAAGAAACAATTTGTCTGGATCTCACTTTTCTCTCATGTAAAAAAGAAGGGTACCAACTATCATCACTATTTTAATAATGTTCTTAGAATACTAGGCAATGCAATTAGACATGAGGAAATCATAATGTGACAATGTTGAATAAGAAGAAAATATTATTTTCAGATATTATGTATCTGAAAGGCCAACCTAGTTTACCATAAAACTATTAGAAACTTTAAGGTAAAATATTAAGATTGCTCATTACAAAAGCAATACCAAAAGTTCATGGCTTTTCTATAAAAATAAAATGAAAAAACAAGAACCCATTTTTAATGGTAACATAAAAAATAAGTGCACTATGGGCTGAATGATGTCCCCCCAAATTCACATATTGAAGCTCTAACCTCCAGTGTGATTGTACTTGGAGCAGAGAAGTAATAATGTTTGAGTGAGATAACAGTAAAGAGTGCGGCCCTGATCCCTTAGAATTCCTGTCTTTAAAGGAGAGCCATCGGAGAATTTGCTCTCTCTGCTCTTTGAGGACACAGCAAGAAAGTAGCCATCTGCTAGCCAGGAAGACACCTCTCACCAGAAACTGAACCTTACTGGAATCTTGATCTTGGACTTCCCAGCCTTCAGAACTGTAAAAAAGTAAGTTTCAGTTGGTTGTGTAACTCAGTTCCCGGTTTTTTCAGGGCAGCTCAAGCTGACGAATACAGATTTTGGTATTGAGAAGTGGAGGTGCTGCGGAGTCAGATACTTCAAAATGTGCAAGTAGCTTTGGAACTGTACAATAAGAAGAGGCTGAGACACATGCTATAAAAAGAGCCCACATTGGGGGCGTACTCCGGGGAGCTGGCGCTTTGGGCAGGGTTGCTTGGGCCGGCGAGGGCACAGGGCTCCAGGGCTTGGGGCTGGCCCCCGCCTCTCTGGGCAAGCGCGCGTGGCTGGCGTTTCTAAGGTGAGGCTGCCCACACCCGACCCTTTCCGGGGGCAGAGGAAACACCTATGAACCCTTCGGCCTCCTTCCTGGCCTGACTCCAGAACACAGGGTCAGAAGTTGAGATTTCCACTGTCGAGGAGCAATGGAAAAGGGCTGCAGCTGCTCATTGGAGAATTGAAAGATTGAGACAGAGAGCTCAATGATATGGTTGTAGTACATCAAAGACAACTCCTTTCATAGGAAGAGGATCGGCAGAGAGTGTTGACTTTGGAAGAACGTTACAGCAAATTAGAAGGTCAGACATTCATTTAGCAGCATCTGTCATGTACTTGTACACACCAACACATTAAAAGGGCTCACGGGAAAGATAGAGAAGGAGCATTTCAACACAATCCCTGCTACCCTGGAGTTTATTTTAATTGAAGATAAGAGAACTTCATGAACACTTACGAACGAACAGACAAACACAATGTGAATTAAAGTAGGGCAAGCAAAGTACTTAACTGTAGAAAGAGTGCTGGGACAGCTCCAGTCAACATGGAGTGTCAAGAGTGAACCTGAAGGAAATTAGTTTTGAGCTAGAATATGAATGAAGATGCCATAGAACTGGCCATTCCTCTTGAACTGACTCAAAGATTTTAAACTTTTGGTATTGAACTTGATCTCAAGTGCCTAAAACAGTCATCTTTTAAAATTATAGCAGTCTCAAAAATGGCTTACAAAAATTTCCTTTTGTACCATATTTTAACTCTCAGTCTTTTTGTGCTACCCTAAAGTCTGAATGTTCTATTGACACTGCATTAATACTAGAGTGTCCTAGAGGGGAAAATACTAGATCTGTTTAACAGAAAGATAATCATATATCCCCTTCTTTTTAACTTATTTTACACAAAGGATTCTGTAAATGTGACAACCTAAATATGAATAATTTTTCCATTTCTTTGATGACCATACCCACCCACATGTATATACACATAAATGCAGTATTTAGTACAATTGTACATTAGATGGAATATAATATCTTATATAAATATCTTTTATATAAACATATGAAAGAGTAAAGATAACATTATATACAAGCATACCTTGTTTTATTGCACTTTGCAGATATTATGTTTTTTTAGAAATTGAAAGTTTGTGGCAAGCCTGCACTGAGCAAGTCTGTCGGCACCATTTTTCCAGCAACATTTGCTGACTTTGTGTCTCTCTGTCAAATTTTGGTAATTTTGTAATATTTTAAGCTTTTTCATTATTATCATATTTGTTATGGTCATCTGTGATCAGTAGTCTTTGGTGTTACTACTGTGACTCGCTGAAGGCTCAGATGATGGTTAGCATTTCTCAGCAATGAGGTATTTTTAAATTGAGATATTTAAATACAATACAAAGGTATACACATTGTATTTTGGACATAATGCTATTGCATGCTTAATAGACTACAATATACTGTAAACATAACGTTTTTATGCACTTGGAAACCAAAATATTTGTGTGACTCACTTCATTGTGATATTCCTTTTATTGCAGTGGTTTGGAACTGAACCTGCAATATCTCCGAGGTCTGCCTGTATAACCATCAGTATCTGGTTTTAAAATGAGCAAGACATTTGAATAGGCATTTCATGGAAAACTGAATGGCCAATAAATGCACAAAAAAGTAAAAAAAAAAAATAGCCCACATTGCCTTTACCAGATTGTTAATAGAAATATGACATTAAAGGTCATTCTCATGAGGTCTCAGATAGGTACAAGGAACATGTTACTGGAAACTGTAGGAAAGGTGATACTTGTCACAAAGTGGTAAAGACATTTTGGTGAGGATGTGGAGAAACTGGAACACTTGGGCACTGTTGGTGTGAATTTAAAATGGTGCAGCTGCTATGAAAAAGAGTATGGCTGTTCTCAAAAAATTAAAAATATATTTACCATAAGATCCAACAATTCCAATTCTAGATATCTACCCAGTAGAGTTGAAAGCAGGGTCTCAAAGATATATTTGCACACCCATGTTCATTGCAGCACTATTCACAATAGCCAAAAGGTGGAAGCAACCAAAGTGTCCAATGATGGATGAATGAATAAACATAATGTGGTATATGCATACAATGGAATATTATTTAGCCATGAAAAGGAAGGAAATTCTGATCTATGCTGAAATATAGATGAAACTTGAGGACATTATACTAAGCTAAATAAGCCAGCCAAAATAAGACAAATACTGTGTGATGTCACATATGACGTACCTAGAATAGTCAAATTCATAGAGACAGAAAGTAGAATGATGGTTGCCAGAGACTGAGAAGAGGGAGGAATAAAGAATTATTTAATGAGTATAGAGTTTCAGCTTTGCAAGATGAAAAGAGTTCTGGAGACTGAATGCACAACAATGTGAATATACTTACTACTGAGCTCTACACTTAAGAATGTATAAGACCTGGTGGTCCAGTGGTTAGGACTCTGTGCTTCCACTGCAGGGGGCATGGGTTCGATCTCTAGTCGGGAGAAATAAGATCCCAAAAACCTCGCGGTGTAGCCAAAAAAAAAAAAAAGAATGTTTAAGACGGTAAATTTATGTTATGTGATTTTACCACAATTTAAAAATTGTTTAAAAAGTTAAATAAAAGCAAGTTGCAGAATAAGAGCCATTTGTATAACACCATTTATACAAATAGATAAATCACAATTTAAAAATTGAATTAGGGCAGAAGAACTAACTAAGGATAAGAGAGAAAAGGAAAAATTAATTCTGTGTTTTATTTTTACCTTTGTTGTATTTTGGAATTTTGTCCACAAGCATTTATTATCTTTACTTTGAAAAAAATATTTAGAAAGGTAGATTGATATAGATAGGTAGACAGATAGGCACATGAATAGATGGATATATAGTTGGGATGGACCATATGAAATTGGTGATATTTGATCAGTTTTTTTGTTTTGTTTTTGTTTTTTTTTGTTTGTTTTGTTTTCGGTACGCGGGCCTCTCACTGTTGTGGCCTCTCCCATTGCGGAGCACAGGCTCTGGATGCGCAGGCTCAGTGGCCATGGCCCACGGGCGCAGCCGCTCCGCAGCACGTGGGACCCTCCCGGACAGGGGCACGAACCCGCGTCCCCTGCGGCAGGCGGACTCCCAACCACCGCGCCACCAGGGAAGCCCATTTGATCAGTTTTGATACACAAAAATGGCAATCTCATACAATTCAATAATATACAGGGATCAGTAAAAGAAAACAAAAGTAGCTTAATTAATATTTATGATCCTTTCCAGTTTTAATTTTCTAAATCCCCAAAAAGATAGCTCTAAAAACGTATCAATTTAGTGTTAAAAAGTTAGAAGTCCACTGAGTTTTTGATATCATAACCCAAATTACTTCATTTGAAAATTTGCTTGCAAGTATTGGTGTTCGTGAAGCATTTTAACTTATTGAATTTCTAAGGTTAGAATTTAGGCCTTACTGCATTGTTTATATATAATCCATTTATTGACTTAAATAATACAGACATATGTAGCATCTTAAAGAATATTTCTAGACAAGTCAACTTTGATTATCATAGAATGTTTTTCACATACTAATTATATCAAGAGAGAATATTTTAATGTCACAGAAGTGGAATTGCCCTTTTTGAATGCACATCAGTATAAAAGACACAGAACAGAAAAACCATGATTGTCAATGAGAAGAAGCTTATAGTGTTTGGTTCAAAAACCTTTCTTCACCTGTGATGAAGCTCACATTCCTTAGGCAGATAATGTATAGTAATAGTTGAAGCATATAATACATATCCTTTCTTACTAATGTATTACATTTTATTAGCTAGATCAATATTGCTATAATTTCCACCCATTAGCATCTCATTGCTGTAAAGTACATAAAAATATTTACATTAACACTGATCAAAATTGCAACAGTGTGTATTAAAATATGAATGACATATAATCAGAATTTTCTGTTTCTACTGCCTCCAGTTATTTCTGACCCCAGATATGACGTTCAAGTTTATACTTAATAGCACAATTATGTAAATCTGTAATTCTAACACTGAATTACAGCTGGTAATGATCAATAATTATATTTATGTATGATGTGAAGTTAATACTACCACCATAGATTAATGTAAACAACAAAATTATTTCTGCAGTCAAGAGCTAACAAATCATCATAAACAGAGAACTAAAACAATCTCTTCAGAGCCTAATTCCTCCAGCAGAGTAAACAGATTTTTTATTCCCAATGAATGTAAAGCCCCCAATTAAAAAGAACACAGCTCTACCAAAAATAACATGATGGCTGAGTATTTCACTACTCTTTTTAATTCTTATTTCAGTCTTCAGAAAAGTGAAGATATCCTGAAGTATCTGATATGCCTTTTTTGAAGGACACTGGGAAAAAGTGAAAGACAGAAATTCTAGAAAAATACAGCCAGCCAATTTAAAAAACAATTTGGAAAATATGTATACTTTTCTGTACATTACAGAGTTCAAGATCCTTCCATTAAAATAAAAAAGAAAAACCTTTGCAAATATATCAGAAAATTGTGTACAGCTGTTATGTCATTTGATCCTTTCTTTTTTTTTTTTTTGCGGTACGCAGGCTTCTCACTGTTGTGGCCTCTCGCATTGCGGAGCACAGGCTCCGGACGCACAAGCCCAGCAGCCATGGCTCACGGGCCCAGCCGCTCCGCGGCACGCGGGATCTTCTCGGACCAGGGCACGAACCCGTGTCCCCAGCATCGGCAGGCGGACTCTCAACCGCTGCGCCACCAGGGAAGCCCCGATCCTTTCTTGAATTGATGCCATAGCTGAAGGAAACAAAAGCTTGAAATATGCCACATAAAATAAAGTTTAATTTTCAACAGTTAGGAAGGACTGAACTAGAGAAAAGACGTAGGAATCTTGCTTTACACCTTTGCATTGCTTAGTGTTGTGTAAATAGTAGAGGTGAGCCAGACTGGAATACAATGGAAAGAACTGAAGAATAACAGGTGCAGCATTGTAAAATTATTATGCTCCTTGCTAAGACTGAAGTCAATGTCGTATTTTTTATTTCACCAACTAGGTTAAAAGAGGAGGAATTTGCTATAGGAAGATAAGCATTTTACATCTGTTTTATTTAACATCATTCACTTATGTATGTTTTTAGCTAACATTCATGTGGGGCTTCCTGTGGGCCAGCCACTGTTTTAGGTAGTTTGTGTACGAGAACTTACTTATTTTCACAATTACTCTTTGAATTTGGTATTATTAATATCATCATTTTATAGATGAGAAAACCAAGACACAGACAGATCCAAGCTCGTATAGTTAAAAAGTGGAGGAGGTAGGATTTAAACCAGTTTCACCTGAAACTAAAATCATGTTCTTTGTTTCGTATCACACTGCGTACTCAAAATTATCTGTATTATGCAGTGGAACTCTGTTAAAGTACAATTTTTGTCTTTGTAATTTAGCACAAGATAGAGTATCAAACATCACTCCACTTCAGGGTTTCTCATCTTTGGCATTACTGACATTTGGGGGTCAAGTGATTCTTTGTTTTGGAGACTGTCCTGTGCATTGTAGGATGTACAGCGTCATCCCTGACTCCTTCTCATTAGATGCCAAAAGCACTTTCCCACCGACTTGTGACAACCAAAATAGTCTTTAAGGAGAAAAATCACTCCCCCATAGAGAACCACTGAATCTTAGGCAAATCCTAACTACTGCATATAGTAAAACACATTTTTCGATACATTCTTTTCAATAACCTAGAACACTTGTCCCATGGAGGTCAGATATTATCTTTATTCCCAATCTACCTAGGAAACTTCACATCTTGATTCCATCAAGGATGAATTTGGGAAATGAAAACCGACAACAAGAATCAGTCATTTCCCTGTAAACAGCTTCTCATGATGATGTCTTGAGATGGAAGACCTCCCTGTCTTTTATGGATTCTCATCTCTGACATAGCTTATTTTTCACTTGTGACTATATTGACAATTCACATAGACATCAGAAAGGAGGTAATTTCTACTCCTCCTTACCTACTGACACAACTACTTTATAAATCCAAAGATTGCTTCTGAGATAAGTTAAAACCTATATTGTGAATGTATTTCTTTTCTTAATTTAGATGAAGTTCTGGTTTCTTTTAAAGGTCATTTTAACAGAATAATCCCATTCACTTTCATGCTATAGAAACTTCTCTTGGGTAGTAAGGAATTATTGGTTGAGAGCCTGAGTCTTTGTGAACAATCCTAGTTGCCTTTTTAGCAAAGAGGATAAAGCAGAATGACTCTAAGCCTCCTTTCAGAGGTTCCTTGTGACATGGTGGTCTCCTCACACTGTGAATTTTCCCCCAGTGATCTGGGTTGATAGACTTACATTTCTTACCTGGTCCCTATAGGACATTTCAAGCAACTTAATCAAGGGTAAGCTTGTTCATTCTACCTTTTCAGTACAAAAATGTTTCAAAGAGTCTATTCCTTTTCTAACTTGAAAAATACCTCTACATTTCTGCAAAGAAAGATTTGTTATTATTAATATCTTTATTCATATAAAGATTCCCATTTATCAGATAGCCAAGGTTTTTGAGACGAAGCTCTAACCTCAAATTTGCAAAATGGAACCCTGAGCCAGATTTTGCTCACAGGAGGGTGTGTGCCTGAGTGTGAGTGTATGTGTGTATGACTAAGGTTGTTATTATTACATTATTTGCTAACATTTAAAGCTTTGGGAAATTTCTTAGAAAAATATGGATTTTAGGGGTTTTTTTGGAAATAATTGGAGGATAAGAAAATAACAGATTTAGTTTTCCTATATGACAACCATCTGTCACAGCTAAGCAGCTGTCCTTTTCACAGGGGACATGTAAGCCTCAACATTCTCTACTACCTTGCATCTTGCCAGTCTCACTCACTATGTGTCTTGCTAGTGTCTGTGGGAATTTGACTTTGTGACCTCTGCTCTAGTCCCTGGAAGGAACAAGACAGAACTTAGTTCTCAGAGGACATAGAACTCCAAGGATGTACCATTTCCAGAACTTAAGAATAAGGTGAAGGGCTTCCCT